TGCCTGTTTTACAGATGAGGAAATGGAGGTTCTCAGAAATAATTTTCCCAAGATCACAAGAATAGGTAGCTAAGCCAGGGCTTGAATGTAGGTATATCTGATTCTGCAGCCCAAATTCCTTTTGCTTTGGTATGCGATCCTCAGAGCCATCCATGATGCTCACAGCTTAGCTGTGGAGATAGAGAAACAGATGAACGCTACCTGAACAATTAGTGAGCTAATACAGGTTTGTATAAAGTTCTCTTGGACATATGGAAGGGAAGAATTTGTTCTCTCTGGGGGAGGTGAGAGCTGGAAAGGGTTCATAAAGTTGCCAGAATGCTTAGGGATTTGTGAACTGGTTCCATAATGAAGGTTCAAGGTAGAAAATAGTTTCCTGCATCAAATACTGGTGGTTAGCTTTAGGGCCACCACAGCCATTCCCCAGGTCACCACCRTTTCCAAATTGTCCCATCTGGGTGCCAGAATTTTAGCTCCAAATGCCTGCTGGTACCTGCATAAGTGACAACTAGTAACCAGGCAACCGAGTCAGCATATTGGTTCATTAAAATCATATTTGTGTGCGTGTGCATATGTGAAAACTACTTTACATAATCACATTTTTAATCTCATATAATATACTTTAAATTTAAGTGAAATCAATGCACTTTCAGGCTCATGGCTATATGGAATGGGTCAGGAGCTCCTAATTATGTGTTAGCATCTCTTCCTGCCCTTGTCCCTTCACTGGGAGCCTCCCTGGAGACGGCTTTCTCCATTCTCTCCTTCAGGGAATTAATCTATTTTCTAGGCATGAGTGACTGTAAAATTCCCAGAAAATTAAGCTTAAACCTACAAGCAAAGAAAGGCTTTAAAATGTATTGTATAATACCTTCTTTGTCTGCTCCGGAGGGCATTTGTGAGGGAAGCACAGTGGGCGGCCGGATACTGTTGGAGGAGCTCTGGCACCAGGCAATTAGGATGATGCTAAACTGATCCATTTCCTAGCTGTGTGGCCTTCGGCAAGTTACTTAACCTCTGTAAGCGTATATTCCTGATCTATAAGAGGGTGAAAAAAATAGTATCCTAGTTATAGGACCTTTGTGAGGATTAAAGAAATCATGCAAAAGTACTCCATAACTAACTGGCTTGTTATAAGTAACCACAGGTGCTAGTTGTGATGACAATTATTATTACTCTCATCATTAGCAGGATGAAGGAATTTGGTGACAGTGATTTGAAACCTCTGTAACACTATGAAAACATGAAATACTATTCTTGTGTACACTGCTGAGGAGTGAGATCCAACAAGCATGGTAGAAAGAGCAGGGAACTAAAAATTAAAAGTCCAATATTAATTAATCTAAKGCCACACCTGCTACCATCTAGCAGCGTGATCTTGGGCAACCCCTGCCCCCACTTTCTCTTCTCTCTCTGAGCCTTTGCTTTTTCTTTTCATTTCTTTCCTTCCTTTCTTTTTAAATGAAGCACTTTGACTAGATGATCTTGAAGATCCATCCAAACTCAGAAATTCTGAATCCGTGACTATTGGAACACAAATAACTCATAGCAAATCTTACGGTTCCTGGAATGGAGAAGGTGGTCAATATGCATTATTATATAGATCAATGGCTAAAATGTCTCTGAAGTTAAAAAATATTGCCTCTAATGGCAATACTGACTTAGATCAAAGGAAGATCAGATTATGCTCAGTGACTGTAAATTTAAGGAAATAAGTGTAAGAAACCAACAGTTTTTTGGATTTGTGGCTTTGGATAGTTACGCAGCACTGACACCTCTCCTCTACAGTTTTTAGGGCTCCTTGCTTCCTAACCTTCCTAACCACTACTGAGTACCTGCTGTGTGCTAGACTCCATGGTGAACTGGGAGGCTATGGAGATAGCTTCTCTTCTGAAGGAGCTGAGCTTCTACTGGTGAAGGATTTAATGGTAGAGGATACGTGCACATTCCCAGTGCGGTTCTGTATGGTGCTTMTATTGTTTGTGTGTCGTTTGTCTACTATTCTGTGAAAACATAGCTGTTTGTGTATTCAGCTTTGGCTGGCTTCTCCACCCTCCGCCCTCCAGCAGCTTCTGGATGTTAAATATTATCTCTCCATGTGAGTTGTACCAGAAGGAAGACTCATCTGTTACTCTTTTACTTCCTTAATGAGCCCTCAAGCTGGTTTGCAGGGCGGCTATTGATCCCTTTTTACTTTTTTTTTTCCTTTCCAGAGAACTGATCAGTCCTGATGTAGCTGCTTGAGCTTAGTTCCTTCCAGAATTCAAATTTTATATGTTCTGTCTCCACTTTCCATCCCTCAATAAAACCAAATAGCCAGGAACAATGACCAAAAGTAGGCAGTCAGGTATGGTGGCAGCACTTTGATGGATAAGCTAAATATTTCTTTTGCTACTATAGCAACTACTATTAAATACCTTGTCACTTGCCTTGGACTGCTCTTTGAAACTGTGAAATTTGTTTTGCATATAAATGCTTAAATCACCTCAATTACCTAAAATACTTTCATCTCCCTTCAAGATCCTTTTTAAAGGGATTTTTACTATGTTCTTCAGATATTTTCATAAATGTAGAATGAAGTATTGATTTTTTTTCTCCACACATATTGATCTTTCACATTCCCAGAGAAAGAAAAGTTTATTCTGAAAATCATGTTTTTCTATAAAAACATTTAATTAAAAATAAAAGACTTGATGCTTAAAGATACCTCCAATTATCTGGAAAATTAATACTAGGTAATTGAGCACTCATTAACACTTCATGAGAATATCTATTAAATGCCTAAAAGTGTCAGGTATTATGCAAATACTATAAACATACAGGAGATTAAGAAATAGTTGCTGCTTTTAAGGAGCTCAATTAAATATTCTTGCTTTATCCTTATATTAACATCTTATTAAGGTATTAATATATCTAAATATTTCACAAAACACTTTCCATAAGTAACATCTCATTTCATTCTTAGAACAATCAACTGTAGTTTCATAGGTCATAAAGTTGAGATTTCTTGTTGCTCATTGTTTGGATACCAGAATGCTGGGGCCTTAGGTTCTGAACTCAGGGCCTCACATATGCTAGACAAGTGCTTGGCCACTGAGCTACACCCCAACCCAAGGATGTTCATTTTGATTTGACAGTGTTAGTATGTTTCCATTATTCCTGATTTCTTCATTCTACCATGCGGTGGATGGAACCCAAGGCCTCAGGTGTGCTAGGAAAGGGTTCTGTCACTGAGCCACAAACCCAACTCCCTGGTTTCATTTCAGGTGCTTAATGATTAACAGTTTACAAAATGAGAATGCTTTCATGTTGAATTGTGAACTGAAGTGTTTTTCATCTCACCTTCTAGTCACTGTTTCTTTTCTCTTGCAGCGGGGGTTAAAATGACTCCTCAAATTCCCTGGGAGTGCTTTTAAAATAAAAATAACTCCTMCTATATAACCAAAGTGGGTACTTGCTCTTAGATTCGCTGCCCTCAAAGCCTTTAGGCCATAATCTTTGGAAGTCATTTCTACTTCATTTGTGATCTTTTCCCTTTATTCCATTCCTGATCATGCCTGCCCAGTGCATCCTTTTTCTTTAWTTTTTTTTAGTTGTAGATGGACACATTATTTTTATTGGTTTACTTATTTTTTATGTGGTGCTGGGGACCAAACCCAGGGCCTCATGATTTGAGGCAAGCGCTGTACCACTGAGCTACAACCCCCGTGCATCCTTTGATTGGAAGAGTTACTGAGGTCATCAAGAGTCACAAAGGGTAGCCAGATGCTATTGCATATGTCGGGAAATCTAGAAGCCTGGGTTCAAGGCCAGTCTTAACAAAGTAGCAATACCTTGTCTCCAGATAAAAAATATAAAGGGCTAGGAATGTAGTTAAGTGGTAAAGCAAATCCTGGTTCAATCACCAGTACCCCTGGTCCCTCCCCCTCCCCCCACCAAAATCACCTAGGGTCAATGCCAAAACCACACAAATAAATAGAGAGCTGGATTTGAACCTGAACCTACGATCCATATACCCTTTGACCAGATGTCTTTTAAAGACACGCTATCTTTAAATGCTACAGTCTAGTGATAAGCATGTGCCTTTTATATACTGCTAATATATAAATAGTTGATTACTGTTAGAACAGAGGTCCACTTAATTTTAATATTTCACAGATAATGCTTTTATGTTTTAGTTCTCCAAGACTGTGCCTCTTCATCTAGGTGGTCACTGAATCAATATTTACTGAGCGTCTATTAAGTGCTGACATAGGCTTTGGGAACGTGAAAATCTCTAGATTTTAGCCTGACATTAATTGGTAATATTCTTTGAATTTGTGTAGGTTTATTCAATATCTGATCATTAGTAACAGTTAGGTTTTAGTGTAATTGATCCTGTGTGAGAAAATTAGTAACAAGAATTGAACCCTAGCAAGGTGTTCGAATGCAAACATCAAAGGCTTTACCTATGAATTCAGAGTTTCCTTATCTTTTGTGGTACTGGAGAATCAACGTAGAAGTGTTCTGTCTCTGAGCTACATCCTCACCCCTTTTTAAAATTTTATTTTTGAGACAGAGTCTCGCTTAACCGCTGAGACTGGCCTCAAAATTGCAATCCTTCTGCTTCAACCTCAGCCATCCCCATAATTGGGATCACKGGCGTGCGGCAGCGCGCGCAGCTGTGAATTTGGGATTTCTTTCGTGCAGAGGACCCAAGAATCGCTAATCAACTGTTGCCAAATGTGATTTAAAAATTTCTCCCAAATCTGCTACGAAAATGACAACGAAGGATGACGGAACTCTTCTGCTCGTTTTTTTCCATTTTCCCCTCTGGCGGGCTCCAAGTTCAGGGAGGCCTGGGGGAAGAAGGGACTAGGACGCCCCAGCTACAGGCGGAAAACTGCGGAGCCACGGCCACCGCCCCGCCCGCTAGAGTCCCGCCGGGCGCGGGGCGTGTCCCGGACGCCTTCCGCTCCCGGGGCGGGGCGTGGCCGCAGTGTCCGGTCTTCCTGCAGCGCTCTGGCCACTCCCTCTAGCGTCCAGTCTGCGGGCCATGGCGGCGCTGCTTTGCAGACGGTCACTCCCTCGGACGTGGCTCTGCAGGTGCCGTGCTGACTCCCCCACCCTACAGGCAGCCCCGGGGTGCGCCCGAGGGCGGCCTGAGTGACCAGCCCCTGTTCCCTGATGCAGGAGAGCTGGGCAGGGCTGTGGCCGGCACTACCGCGCCGCGCTTTGCGCCGAGCTGAAGCAGCCTCTGGCCATAGAAGAGGTGGCCCGCCGCCCTGTCCGACCTCACGAGGTAGGGTGGCTGGCCAGTCCCTGGGACCCCGTGACACATGGCAAGTGCCCTGCCTGAGTCAGGTTCCCARTTCCCAAGCTAGGGGGCGACCGAGAGACTGACTGCAGCGCAACTTGGTCCCAGGGCTAGAAGGTCAAGCCCTGCAAGGTTCACGAAAGGGTCAAAGCCCTAAGGAAGATTGTTCCCCAGAACACACTTGTAGGCCTCTTTCTGAAGATTCCACATCTGTTTCCTTAGAAACAGAAAACTGATTTGCACGACTGCACAAACACCTGCCAGTTACTGATGTAACAGATAAACGGACTCTCTTGTCCTTTGTTCCTTTTCAGTGTCCTGTCAAATTAACTGCCCTTCCATCTACCCCAAACCCTTATGCTCCTCTCTGGGGTACTGCAGTGATTTGGGATGGATTAGTTAAGGCCAGAGGGCAGTTTCACTGAAATGTGGAAGTCTCTTTGGCCTTGCCTGTTGGCCATTCTGGTAACATAATGTTACTACTGTGGAGCATGAGAATCTGTGCCAGGGGGRAACCAGTGGTGAGCCTCAGTGTCTGGGGACCACGAGTGTGAGGGAGAAAGGCAGCTGCAGGGCTGAAGCGACTCTAAGGTGGAGCCTGCSGCTAAATGGATTATTTGGAGGAGCCGGAGATGGCAGCCAGACTGCTTCCTGGGATTCTCATGCTGAGAGAGCTCATCCTTGGGTCAGTCTCAGATCAATGTGGAGTGGCTTTGAGGGGCACGTGTGCAGGATGCTTGTCAATAACTAATGTGTCGTGCACGCAGTGTGTGCAGGCTGAGGGCTGGGTTCCTTTGTTCTATTTGTCCAGACATTACTTTGTAAGGCATTAGCTCATGAGACCTGCAATTATGTTATTTTTATCCACCATTAAATCTCTTTACTGTAGAATGGTGCTTGGCATGTGGCAGATGCTTAGATTGCTGAATGAATGAATTTTTTTTTTGAAGATGAAAATGTYTTCTCACCAATAGGGCAACCTCTGTGCTAAATTTAAACACACAGATACATATTGATTTGGTGTCTCAGCCTTCATTTCCTCCTCCGTTTCCAACCCCTGTTGGGATGTGTTGCCTACCACAGTAGTTCTCCAGGGTGCATCGGAACCACCTGGGGCTTGTTAAAACAGATTRCTGGGCTTTGTCTCCAGAGTYTCTGCTTTGGCAGGATCTGGGATGGGGCCTAAGAATAGGAATTTCTGACAGGTTTCCAGGTGATGTTGATGCTGGTGGCCCTGAACCACCTTTTGAGAACCACTGGCTCACCACTGTAGTTCTGCCTCAGTTATGGGGCTGCCATAGAAGACAGGAGGGTATGTGTGTGTAGGCCAGCCTCCAGGATTCCAGATTCTGACATGATAGAATAGTCTGTCGTGTTAATTTTCTATTTAGACATTTTAATGGTTTTCTGCTGCTCTTAGAATGAAGGCCAAAATCTTCAATATAAACCTTCAAACATTTGTGTGGTGTGGTCTTTTTTCTCTCTTCCTTTTTCTTCCCTTTCTATGCTTCCCTCCAACTCTTTGTGCTCTAAGCTTGCTGTTTTTTGTCTCTGATGCAGGGCCTTTGCACAAGTCATTGCTTTTGTTTTGCCAACCTTTTTTCCTCCTGCTTTGAACAGTTAACTCTGAGTTGTTAATTAGCTCAAGGATTATTTTTAAAAATTTTCTTGACTTCCCCAAGAAGTCAAATCCTGCCAGTATAGACTTTCTCACATTACATATCATTCCTTTTAACACTTTGTGTTGAGTTATGATTTGACACATATGGCTTCATTATGATTTTGTCTCATATGTTTTTTTCCCCACATTTTAAATGAGTGAATTATGGTTGTACATGATGGTGGGATTTGTTGTTACTTATTCATACATGCACACAATATAACAATATCATCCTCATGTCTTCTTTACTATCCTTTTTGCTCCCTGAAGGCAGAAACTTGTCTGTTTAGCCTCGTGATTGTCCTCTGGCTCAGTGCCTGCATACAGCTTTTATTTCTTCAGTAAATCTGTTTGAATAATCAAGTGAACTTTGTCTCCAGAATGTGTCCTGCTCTGTTTTGCTGCTTTGTTCCCTTTGCAGGTCAGAGTTGAGGTCCATTTCTGTGGAGTCAACTTTGCTGACATTTTGGTCTGTCGTGGTCAATATCAGGAGAAGCCCCCTCTTCCCTTCACACCTGGTGAGTATGGGGGACTGCTGCTTCAAGAAAAGAAGATTCCGAGGGTTTTCAGAACCCCATGCATCTTCCCAGACACTGCTCTTGTGGTGTTTGCCTGTCCTTGGCGAGGTTTCTGTTAAGATATGTCAGCATCATTGCTGAAACCACTAGAGTGTAACCCCCCCCCCCCAGGGTAGTTTCTATATCTGTCTTGCTCAACATTGTGTCCCTAGCTTAGGGACCATTGTGTACCTGGCTCAGAGTAGATGCTCAGTTCATTTATTTAAAATGAACACATGAACAAATGAGTGTTTACACATCATTATGTCCACCAGAATTCTGCTCATGAGAAACATTGATCCCCTCATCATTCTCATTCCTTCCTTGACAGCGCCTCTTGTTTTTTTTTCATTGAATGATCACAAGCATCTAAGACTTTCAACCTAATGCGAGAGGATCAAAAAGAAGAAAAACAGTTTACCCTGCTTAGTGGCCCAGTGTCTGATTTTCACGATTCCCAATCTCATTACTTCTAGATCCTACATATGGACAATGACTGATTTTTGTTGTTCAAGTTGATTTAAAGAGTTACGGGTAGAGCTTAGCCTATTTACATATATCTTATGTATATACATATTATTGAGAGTTCAGTGATTGCAAAATAGTTGCCATGTTTTGGTCTGAAGGTATTGGATTTTGCCTTAACATTTGGAACCATTTCCTTTTGTTTGTATTAGCTAAAATGTTGAATAGGGGAAAGATGTCATACACAATTGAGTTATTTCCTGGCAGGTCAGGTAGGAAATGCATGATCATTAAATTCAGAAATATCAGATGTGGGAGAAGAAAGGGCACGCAACACTGATTCATCCAGTTGAGCCAGTGTTGTCTGAATAAACAGTTCATGTCCTGGAGGGCCACACACCAGCAAAGGAGACGTAGAAACAGATAAATAAGATATGATAAACACGGTAACTGGGAGCTCTAGGAGCCTGAGGCCCCAGCGATCAGGGTCAAAAGTTGCTGTGTACCTGCGATACTGACACTCTGTGCTTTACACATCACAGTCAAGCCTGGGACTGCCACAGGTTTCCAGGGTGTGATAATGACATCTTATGCTCACTTTCCTAGGCTTTGAGTATGCTTTTCACACTGCTAGGTAAAAGTAATAGTACTTAAGACCTTACCAGTTCCTAAAAGCTGATGGATGGCCTGATAATCAAGGTCTTCTCAATGCCGTGGGGCTGAGTTTTACAGATAACCTAATTTTTCAACCATGTTTTAGGAATGGAGTTCTCTGGGATAGTACTGGAGACAGGCGCGGATGTCAGCTCAGTGAAAGAGGTAAATGAGTCGAAATCCAGAGAATCGGCTGTGTATGTAGCTAGGAGAAATGTGCTGATCTCATTTGTGCCCCAAAGGTCTTGCTCCTCCTGGCCTTTGTCAGCAGACACTATAAGAAAACAGAGAGAGTTCTGAACTGGGGGGAAGGAGTTGGGTGGAAGTTTCTGGCTTCATTAAACTCTTCATTATGAATTCTCAAGTTTGAGCCTCCTGTGAAAGACATTCACACTGGGATTCTAATTCATACCCACCTTTTCTTTACCATACCCCATTCTTGTCCAGAATATGCTCAGCTTGGCTTGGCAACTGGGTGGCAGCATTGAGAGAGCTGTTGTTTTATTTACTAAACATTAACTCTGAATAGATAGGAAGGCCAGCCTATGTCTTGTGGGCCAGAGATGAGCATTTTTCTTTTATACTTTGACTGATTCAGGAAGAGGTGAATGTAAGGCCATGCATTTGAACATACCCTGATGTTGTTTTCCGTTCAGGGAGAACGAGTCATTGGTCTGAGTGGCTTTAATGGGATGGCTGAAGAATACATCGCTGACCAGAAGGTAGCCCTCTCTCCAGATCAATGCTTGGAGGGTTGGAGGGTTTTCCTCCTTTGTTTCCTTTAATTTCCACCCCTTCCTCATTCCTCATCTTCCTCACTCCCCATTTCTTTGCATTTGTTTGGTCTTGATTCTCAGCCAACGACTTTTTTTTTTTTTCCTCCAGTGCTAAATCCCTTCTCTTTATTGGTTTGACAACCCTTGCACAGAGCTTTGTTTGTGTGGAGTGTTTTCATGAAGAAGGGCACTTTGTTTCTGGAGTGCCTGAGCAATTGGCTGGCAGTCCAGTTGGAACATAGGTAGTTTTGGTGGAAAAACTGGTTGGGTGCATTGAGCTGGGTATAATGGGCATCTTCCCCCCCACAAAGCTTTTGAAAGAGATAGCCCTGGGAACGCAGCCAGCCATGGTGGCCTTGTGTGGTGGAGCAAGATGTGGATAGTGCCCCCAAATGGTGCACAGTACACGATCCCCTGCCGTGGCTTTATTGAGGTGAAATTTATGTACCGTACAATTCACCTATTACAGTACAGCGAGTTGTGGTCTGTTCTCCATAAATTGGTTCTTTTTGAGTCAGGTGCGCCAGCCTTAGGGTTTTGAGGTCTGATGCACCAAGTCCTGGACTCTGGTCTTGACTTCCACTGGTTATTCCCATTTCAAGTCAATCACTCAAACCACAGTGTTTCCTGAGTAGCCTTTGCAGGTACATGTGCCTCATCCCTAAGCCACTGTTATCTCTTTCTAGACCTTGTGGCGGGTTCCAGAAAAGGTCTCCCTGCAAGAAGCTGCTGTCCTACCTGTGTCTTATGGCACTGCTATTTCGGCTCTAGAGCATCGGGCCCATACCCAGCCTGGGTAAGGACTGGGTAGCCAGTAGGGGGTTGGGTCGTACCCTTCCCTGATCCTAGAAGTGCCCAGTAAGACCTTCCCCAGTCCCTTCCCTTCTCTCTCCTTCCCGCCCCTTCTTTCCTTTCCTCTCCCTTTCCTTCAGCTCATCTTCACTTTGGCTGAGGAAAAGGCCAAAGGAGGTAACCACTGGACACTGTGGTGTGGTGACTGTGAGGGCATCATTTTGAGAGGGAATGGTAGATGGTGAGCTTGGCCCGTGTGAATTTGGAAGCACAGCTTTCTTAAACCTGAGTGTAAGAGCACTTCATAGAAAACCTTAGAATCGGGAGAGTTGGTTTGTTTAAACTCACTTCACAGGGGTTTACTGGAGGCCTGTGGGGGTGTAAGGCTGGGTGCTGTGTGCCAAGTGGAGTATTTTAGACTCCAAAGGTGCTGAAATTTCTGGTGTTACCTGGGAAGCTGCCTCTTGATCTTTTCAGAGAGCTGACCCTCAGAACTGCTCCTGACTGGTGGGTCCAAGTGAGTGGTGGCCATGACTTGACCATCATCAAATTGGGCAGGGTTTTGTATATGAGCATGATTTCAGGGCAGAGTTTCTGAAGCATATATTGGACTGGTTGCTCAAAGGAGCAGTTGCCCCTGACAGGAGTAGGGGAGGCAACCTAGAGAGACTGGGGAATCTTTTTCCTGGGGAATCTTCAGAACTGGATCAGATTAGCACTGATCTAAAAGTCACCTACGTAATCCACTCCCCAAGGCTGGGGAACATATGTACAGGAAGGTTTGAATGAAATGCTCTCTTAATGTTCTTGCTTTAAAATGTTTACTTCCAGAACGTTCCTGAAGTCATCACTGGACGAGTCTTGAAGGTGTCTGTAGTAACATTCATCTTTCTTTGGCACAGAGAAACTGTTTTAGTAACCGCAGCAGCTGGAGCCACGGGCCTTGCAGTGATAGATGTGGCAACAAATGTTCTTCAGGCCAAGGTATTTACATGTTGGAGCCTCTACTTTAAAACAAAACAAAACAGGGCTGGGGTTGTGGCTCAGTGGTAGAGCGCTCGCCTAGCATGTGCGTGCATCCTGGATTTGATCCTCAGCACCACATAAAAATAAATAGAGGTATTGTGTCCAACTACAACTAAAAAATAAATAATCAAAATCAAAACCAAAATTAAACAAAATGAAAAAAACCTACCTTCAGTTTTAGACATGGGATATATTCCTTAACTTATTAAAAATCATATGCAGTGCACTGAGGAGATAAAGCAACTGGGAGTGGGGTCTGGCCATCTGTTTGCTTAGCCTGGTGAACAGCCTAGTAGTACATTGCTTGTCCTTTCAATTACTGGAACCTGGCGAGGGCTGCCTTGCAGATGCTATCTTCTCCACCTATCATTCTCTGAATCGCCTCCCCCTGCAATTCAGATCTAAACTCATGTGTTATCTTTTCAGAGAAGTATTCTCTGTCCTCGGGTTGGGTCAGGCTCCTGTCCACTGTTTGTGATCTCACTACATCTTGCACTTCTCTTTCTTCATACACACCTCACTGCATGGTTACCTTTTCTCATGTTATTATTGGATTAATGTCTCTTCCTACTGGATTGTAACCCCAAGAAGGCAGAGAAGTGTCTGTGTGGTTCATCACTGTGCACTAGTACCTCACGTGGTACCTGGAACTTGGTAAGCATTCAAGAACTATTTTTTGAATGAATGAACAATGAATGAATCGAGAAAAGAATGAAGGAAGGAATCCAGTTTCTATAGGGGCATCTCTCTGAGGCTGCGGGTATCAGAGAAGGACTGCTTTTTGGAGGAGGGAGACATTTAAGACAACTTCCAGAGGTCTGGCAGCAGTTGAATAGAGGAAGAATGGAGGAAGAGCCTTATTCTAGTGGTGGGGGACATTTTTAGAAGATCAAGAAGTAGGAATCGGCACCATACATTTTAGAGAATCGCAAACTAAGGACTTGGGGTGGAGTGGTGGAAGGTGACTCTAGCAACGTGGGCGGAGAGAAGGTCTGAGCTAGCACGGAACTGAAAACTTTGAACGTCTATTGGAAGCTGTTGGAAGCTATTGAGAATTTCAGGTAAGGAAGCGACAGGATCATCTTTGCATTTTACTTGGTAGCCATGGGGAGGAGGGATGGGACGAGGTCAGAGGTAATGGAGGCAGGGAGCAGGGCGGGCTCCCGGAATAATCCAGGCAGTGGAGGTCATGAAGTGAGTCGTACTCAAGTGGGAAAAAATAGATTGGTGACTAGAGAGCATCCAAGTAGTCAAAGAACAAAAGCTTTCAAAGGTGGCCCCCTGGAGGTTCTCAGTCCAGCTCTTAATAGCATCCGTTTCCTCTTTTATAAAATAATTGTGGGAMTATTGAGAATTGTTACACGTGCAGTGCTCCTATCTGAAGGTGTGGCCTGTCATTAAGAATCTTTTAAAAATGAATCCTAATGAATGTCTAATAAGAAATATTATTAGGCATTAAGTGGGAGGGAGCAAAGTAGGTTAGCGGGTGGGGTTGCCACAAAAGTGACTGGGAACCCTGAAGGAAATGGGGAGTTCGGTTTGGGTGTGTTGAGTGCAAGGCTCCCGTGGAGCATGTGATTGGAATATTGAGGTAGCAGTTAGACAGACAAATTTGGAAGTAATTGGATTGGACTGGAGCTTCTTTAGGTGGTGTCTCTCCTTTCCTGTGAAGTTCCTTTGGGAAGGACCTGTGCATCTGGAGAGCAATCTTGGATACTAGGAGTCTCTTCTTGAAATGTGAACACATCCTGTGTGAGCATGAAGGGTGTTTAGCTCCTCTTAGGGGAGAGACCATAATTAGTCTCGTTGTCTAGAGTCATCCATGATTTAACATTTCTAGGAAGATAAAATTGTACCATTTGTTTCAAATAGTTCCGAGAGATTAAATAGAAAAAAAATTGATTTAATTCAGATATTGAAATCAATCTGAGCTATGTTTTCTTTCACGGCGAGAATGGTTCTAAACAGAAGTAAGCAAAGATAAAAGTAAAAGCAATGTTACCACACCACCTGCTTGGAAGAGGTCGCTTTGATAACACCTTCCATCCACAGCATTTCATATGCACCCAGAGTGCCTCCACAGCAATTGTCTTACCCTTGACCCTCGCAAACCCCAGAGAGATAGGTAATGTAAGTGTTTATTATCCCTGTTTCACAGATGAAGAGAAGGAGCCACCAAGAGAGAAAAGAATTCACTGCATGTGTCATGGAGTCCCAGTGAGAGTCTTGGGATGGAAATGGGGTGCCTGACCCTAGTCTAGTGTGCACACATAGCCCCCAGTGAACTGTGCTATTTTGAGGAGACTACCAGGGAACTTTTGAGGGTAGCTTCTAGTTTCCAGTAGTTACAGGTGAGTTTGGAATTCTTTAAGGGCATCCATATTCTTGGGGTGTTTGTGCAGGTCCTGGGCATCACTTGGAGGGTGAGGTAGTCAGGCTGGTGGCCTTGCTCACTGATGAGGCACCTGTAGCTGATGCTTGACTATTTGCAGCTCTTTTGGAAATTCCTGCAAAGGGCCCTCAGCCATCTTGGCTGTCCATGTTGGGCCTTACGTACCGTTTTCTCCTAGGGTGATGGAGTAGGAAGCCTGGGCTTTGAAGAAAGGCCTGACTTTGAATTGTTGTTCTACCATCTTCTTTCTGGATGACCCTGCTTGATTATTGACCCTCCCTGAGTCCCTGTTTCTGCCCATAGAGTGAAGTAATTCTACTTCCTCCATAAAGTTCTTCTGAGGCTTAAGAAGAATACGTGGTTGCCTGCATGTAACAATAGAAGCGATTTATCTCACACTTTGTTTTCCAAGTGCCTTATACACAATGTTCCATTTAATTTTAAAAATAAGTCTTTAAAAAACAAAAACAACCCATGCAGTAACTGAGACCTGGAGAAGCAGACAGGCTGCACAGGTTAGATGTGAGGACTCTGGAGACGGTTCCCGGGGCGTGGATCCCAGTTGTGCCTCCTGTTGGCTGTGTGACCTTCCTCAGACAGCTTGTTTCCCTTACTTTGCTTCTGTCTATAACAGGGATATTAATAGCATTTCCTTGGGGCTATTATGATTAAATGAGTTATTAATTTATGTTAATCATTTGGAATGTTGCTTGACAAATGGTGACACAGTATGTTAGTTCTCACTAAGTAATTTGCCCCAGGTGACACGGCTAGTAAGTGGCAAAGCCAGGATTTGAACCAAGTTCTGACTTCAAGGTCTCTCCACCAAATCATGATTCACCCTCTGGGAAGCCTTTCCTGATCTAGATCTAGATTGGATACCTCTTGTTTTTACTTCTGGAGCCCTGTGTCCCTCCCCAGCACACTGCTGGACCTTATCCCCTTGATGGAGCTTGGTGTCCCACTTGTATCCTTGTGACCTGACTCGTGGTGGGTGCTCAGTAAACAGTGGCTTTCATTGGCAGTTGGAGAGAACTTTTGGAGTGTCTTTAGAGCTACTTCCCACCTAGAACTGTTGGGTTCCAGAGTTTCTAGAGATGGACACCATGGCCGGTGGGGCATGGAGAGGCCTAGGGGACAATGCATTTGTTGGGCCTCACATGGGATCGGGCCGATGCTTGGGCAGCAAGCTCGTGCTGGTGTCCATGACTGCACCTTGGCCGCAGGCTGGGGAGATGGTGTGTGCTCTTCCTGGAACATGTTCTGACCATCCTGAACCTTGTGTTCTTTGTGCAGGTAATCGCTGCGGCCGGAAGCGATGACAAGTGCAAGCTGGCGGTGCAGAGGGGTGCGCAGGGCAGCGTGAACTACAGCCAGGGCAGCCTGAAGGAGGCAGTGAGGCGGCTGGTGGGCAGCCGTGGAGTGGATGTGGCCATTGACATGGTGGGAGGAGAGGTCTTCCTGGAGGCCCTCCGCAGGTGGGTGCGTGCAGTGGTCCACCCAGAGGGCCCCTGAGCTGACCCTTCCGCACCTGTCTTCCTCCTGGCCTTGCTCCTCTGTTGTGTGTGCTGTTGGCTTCTCCCCTCAGGCGTCAGCATCAACGAGAATAGCCGAGCGAGTGGGTGACAGGGAAGAGAAGCAGAGAAAATCAGGAAATCTTAAATATAGCAGAAAACAAAATACCCAACTGGAAAATATCCAAAAAATGACTGCAGACTCTCAAGTTGGCAACATCAAGTGCTTTAGAAATTATACATGTGTGAATTCCGCTCCGTGGGCCCTGCTAACTACTGCATGTGCGTGAATGTGGAGGGTCCCGGAGGAGGCCGTGTTCAGGGTGGGCATCCCAGGGTGGCAGTTCCCTTTGCCCAGTTCACGGTGAACCAAGGGACAGGCTCTTCTGAAGGTTTCCTTGATCTATTAAAAATTATGACCCTGGAGACTTAGTGGGGCTAAGTCTGTTGTTTTTCATACCAGTTCTCATTGTGTTTTCAACCAGAGTGTTTGGAGTATTGTGGGAGTGCTGGTTTTATTTCTCATGTCATCCTGGAAAGATCATGTTGTGGTTTTCTCAGTTTAAAGCTAAAGAAACAGAAGCAGAGAGATTATCCTACCTGCAGAGGAGATCACCGCATGGTGCCTGGTATTGTGTTTAGAGGGGAAGTGAAGGAAGAATGTGGACCAAATGAGCTCGCCCTTCTTTTCCCTTTGTCCTCTGGATAATTGAGTCTGTTTATTTAGTACTGGGCATTGAATCAGGGTCACTCTGCCACTAAGCTACACACCCAGCCTTATTTTTAAATTTTGAGACAGGGTCTTGCTAAGTTTCCCAGGTTGGCCTCAGACTTGCAATCCTCCTATCTCAGCCTCCCAAGTCCCTGGAATTACAGGTGTGCACCATTATGCCCTGCTTCGGATAATTGTGTTTTGACAGTAGCTTCCCTTTCTCTTCTGAAGAAGAAGATCAAAAAGGCAAAGATGTTTACAGAAGTTGTTTTTAATGGCTTGTTGTGTAACGTATGTACACTGCGTGGTACTTTTTATAGTGGAGAGTAGAAAACTTGAGAATTTTTGTAAATTATTCGAAAGTCATCAAAGAAGCACCATGACTAGAGTCGTACAATAAGTGGTGGTGTAAAGTGTGATCTTTCATTTCTGATCCTAAGTTTAAAATCTTCAACTGTGGTCTTGAAGTATAGCCCATGGGAGGACATTTGCTTCTGCCCAATTTCCTCCCACAAACGAGTCAAGGAGGTTAAATAGATTCTTGATCCTAAAGTGGGCCCCTTGTGAAAGTGTAGTCCCCTAATATCTTGCTCACGGCTTATTTAAAAGTTTTTCTCCTAAGGAATCCAAGATAGCAAAGGGTTGGTTCATGTCTTCCAATTTACAAGGTCAACGGAAGTTCCCAGCCATGGCTTTAATACAAGTTGCTTTTTTCTTTAGCGTGATGAAACGTGTAATCTAATGCTTAGCATTTTAGCCATTTATAAGTGTATAGTTGCGTGTAACTATATGTGCTCACAGGGTTTGTGACCCCCATCACAGGCTCTGACCCATTAAGTCAGCACTGCCTCTTTCCCCTTCCCCCAGGCCCTGGAGACATTTCTTCTATGGTTTGTCTCTAGGGATTGGTGGACAGTGTTAGTTCTCCATTTTTTTTTTTATTGTGGGTGAAGAACATATAAGATAAAAATCTACCCATCCTATCCTCTTTTTCTTGTGCAGTTCAGTTGTTAAGTCCATTCTTACTGTTCTGCAATGGATCTCTAAAACTTTTCGTCTGGCAAATATGAAATCTTACACCCATTAAACAACTCTCCACTTCCCTTCTCTCCCTAGACCCTGGCAATCCAATTCTACTCTCTGTTTCTATGAATTTGACTACTTTAGATACCTCATTTAGATGATCATATAGTATTTGTCTTTTTGAGTCTGACTTATTTCACTCAACATAATGTCCCAGAGGGTATCCGAGTTAAACATGTGACAGGATTTCCTTCCTTTGGAAGGCTGAATAATATTCCATTATATGTGGAGCTGGGGTTGTGGCTCAGCAGTAGAGCGCTTGCTTAGCACATGCCAGGCCCTGGGTTCAATCCTCAGCACCACATAAAAATAAATAAATAAAATAAAGGTATTGTGTCCAACTACAGCCAAAAAAAAAAAAAAAATTAAAAAATATTCCATTATATGTATATCCAAATTTTCTTTATCCATTTGCTGCAGTCTGGCTGGGCACAATTCATGAGCCACTTATCAAGCAGGAATGAACTTTATTTTTAGAACACAGGCTGCACCATGGGAGCTCTTCAGGAATTCCCTCAGAACCCAACTGCTACCACCAGCTCTTCCTGTGAGCACACCAACCGGCACTCTTCCCGCCCTTGAGGCCGATTGGCTGGGTTGTGTGGGTGGAGCCAAAAGAATCCCTCAATGAGCAGCTCCATGGTCTGAAAGGGTGGGGAAACAGCCCAATGAGCATCACCGTACAGGAGCCAATCAGCTTGAAGTTTGCTGGGGCGCTGTGAGCCAATCAGCTGGAAGTTTGCTGGGGCCGCTGTGAGCCAATCAGCTGGAAGTTTGCTGGGGCCGCTTTGGCTGTGGCTCTCAACATCCATTCACCAGTCAAGGGACAATACTTAGTTTGTTTCTGTGCCTTGGCATTTGTGAATAGTGCTTCTATGAACACAGGTGTGTGAATATCTCAAGACCCTGCTTTTGCTGGGCTTGGTGGTGCAGCCTGTAATCCCAGCAGCTTGGGAGACTGAGGCAGGAGGATCATAAGTTCAAAGTCAGCCTCAGCAACTTAGTGAGGCCCTAAGCAACTTAGTGAGACCCTGTTTCTAAATAAAATATTTTAAAAAGGGCTGGGGATGTGGCTCAGTGTTTAAGTAACCCTTGGTTCAATCCCTGGTACCAAAAAAGTAAAAAAAAAAAAAAAAAAGACCCCGCTTTTAACTTTTCTGCGTGTACACCGGAAGTGGAATTGCTGCACCTATTCTTTTTCAAAGAAACTTAATATTGTGTTCTATAGCATTTGCACGTTTTATAATCCCACCAATGGTGTGGGAGGGTTTCGGGTTTCTCCACATTCTCCCCACACTTGTGGTTATTATTTTTTTCCCACAGTAGCCATCCTAATGGGGGCAGATGCCATTGTATCTCATGGTTCTTTTTTGCCCCTCAGCCTGGCGTGGGAGGGCAGGATCGTGGTGCTCGGATTTGCGGGAGGAAACATCGCCTCTGTACCAGCTAACCTGCTGCTCCTGAAGAACATCTCTGCCATGGGCCTGTACTGGGGTCGGTACCAAGACCAGGACTTTCCCCTCTTCTCCAGGAGCCTGTCCTCGGCCCTCCAGTACTGCCAGCAAGGGCGCATCCGACCATATGTGGGGTCGGTGTTTAAGCTGGARGAGGTGAGACTGCTTTGGGCATGTGGTTCAGATGAGGCTAAGGCCAGGAAACAGTCTGTGCTGAACTGCTGGCCAATTGACCTCTGGATGCTGTAGATGCTCCTTTTATGAACTGAACAGGTGAAAACACGGCACCGAATTGTGGGTTTCGTGGCTTCTGGGCCACAGGATTTCTGCCAGTCTTCTGGGTTGATGGCTGTCAACTCAGCACAGTGTGAAACTGAATTTCGAGGTGCTTCACCTGTATACTGGTGTCTCAAATGCAGGAATGGTACAGTGCTTTAGGAAATAATTTACATGTGTTGATGTGAACCTTGAACTCCATACACAGAAGCCTAAGAAGGGAGCGCTCCACTCGACCTTTGATTTTCAAATATAGACGCTTTGAAAGTACTGCCAGATGATCTGTGCTGGGGTTCTGTGAGCAGAACACTCAGTCATGCCTGGCATCCTTGGACTCTACATCATCCCTTAGTCACTGTAGTTAATTTTTTTGGCGATTCATTCCCATTTTTCCTTTCCCCCTCTGTCTCATTAATGTGGTTTCAGCCTCCTCCAAAGTGTAATTGTGTGCATGCATTGGCAATGTGGTTCTGAATGCAGATCTGTTAGGCATTCACTGTGAAGTCTCTATTACTTTTTGCCTTAATTTGTTTTAATGTTCAAAAAAACTGGTAGCTCGAGTCGGCGTGGATGGAGCCGGTGTTTGGTTTAAATGCAGATGYGGTGGAGGTCAAGTGGTCAGTGCCACACCTGAGTTTAATGTTTTGTTTTTTTCTTCCTGTGATGAGGCACCTTTGATTTTCATACTCAGTTTACTTCTTTTTTAATCTTTTCGGTGTGTGAGTCAAAAAAGAAAGTGTGTGTTGGTGAAGAGGACCTGAGCGGCCATCAGGAAGCTGGCTGGTTCTGCCTCCGCTTTGCCCCTCCCGTCACTCTGGACAAGTCCCTTCACCCTTTTGACCTTCCGTTTCCACAGCTCTAGAATTAAGGGGGAGGATGTTGCTGGTGGCTCTTGGAGCAGGGGTCAGGAGCCACAGAGGGACGCAGTGGGCAGGTGTGGACTGGGGCTGTCTGGGCCCAGGGACTGCGTCTCGCCAAGGCTAGAGAGCTGCAAAGCTCTGCTTTTTTTTTTATCTTTTTAAGAAAAGTATCCACTGTGGATACTTTCCAGGTCCCTTGGGCCATGTGGCTTTTATCTTCATGTGACCTGTAGCCGAGGTTGGGCGTACCTGAGGCTGCAGACACCTGTTGTCGAGGGGAAGGACAAGCAGGCAGGGTGGCAGCGGAGAGGAGTGTTGCTGTGAATTGTCTCCTGTCCCCACTCACGTGGTTTCAGTGGTGCTCAGACAGGGGAAAAGAAGGCTGGGGGTGGACTGTCACTTTAATTGTCCACACYGAAGCTCTCTGTCATGTGAGCTAGCTGTATCCTCACTTATCTCCTGTCGCATCTGCCCTTGGCTCTCCTGTGAGGGCTCTGCACTGGGGCTTTTGAGTCCCTCCCACTCCCCCAACTTCAGTGTCATCGGTGGCCTTTGGAGCCAGGTTTCTGGGCACATTTCAAACATCTCACTCGCACACCATCCGCTCGCTATTTCTTATTTTTCTATTTCTTTTAAAATGTAAACTACTTGGGGGAATAATCATAATAATATGCTAAGCACTTTGCATGCATGATCTCATTTAACCTTCAGAAGGACTCTCTGAGGTATGAACCATTTTATCACATTTTACAGATGAAGAAATCAGACTCTCAGAAGCTAAGAAATCTGCTCAATGATGCATAGTAAGTGTCAGAGATGGTACCCAGGCCCTGCTGGCCTCATGCTCCAATCTGGGCTCCTTATGGCTATGTCACTCTCTCTCAAGAATGCTGTGAAGTCACTTCTTCCAAAGATTATTCTGTAGGATGACGTTTATCCATCTATCACAGAATTATCTATGCAAAAGAGCTATATTTTAATTAAAATGATCAGGACTCTTGTATTTTCCTGAGCAGAACCAGGGTATATGTATTTTGTTCTTTTAAAATGAAGATGATGACATAAATGCATAATTAATTTCACTGAACTTTAAAGCTTGGGTAATATTTTTTCATGCAAATTGGATCACATACTGGAAACATTATTTGTGAGAACCTGTTTGGGCTTGAAAAATAATCACTGAACTTACAAAATATATGTAGTCTCAGAAATGCTGGCTCTTCCTAGCTTGTATTTTCTGGTGCTTCCTGGCTTCTATTTTCTCCTAAATATGTGGTCTTGCAGATTTGACCTTGACAGTTTATACTAATGTGACCACAGAGGTGGCACCATAGCYGAATATCCATAACATTGTTGCCCTTTCATCTGTGTGCGGTTACTTGTTCAATGCGCATCTTTCCCGGAAAGCATAAATTCCACACAGGTGGGGCCAGGTGGGGCCAGCACCTCTGTATTTCCAGTTACTGCAGGAATCCACATTTCTGCTGCATGACTGAGCTCCGAGGTCACACCACCAGAGTGCAGATGCTGGCTGTGTGCAGATTGGACATCTTTGTCCTTGTCTGTAATAGGCAGTAATGTACCCTGAATCCCAGGGTGTTTGTGAGGATTAAATAAGACAATATATATAAAAGAACAGCAATATGATTGTACCCTTTTCTCCACATCCTTGCCAACATTTATTGTTGCCTGTATTCTTGATGATTGCCATTCGGACTGGAGTGAGATGAAATCTTAGTGTAGTTTTGATTTGCATTTGTCTAATTGCTAGAGATTTTCAACACTTTCTCATATATTTGTTGATCATTTGTATTTCTTCTTCTGTTCAGTTCCTTAGTCCATTTATTGATTGGGTTATTTGGTTTTTTTTTTTTTGGTGTTAAGTTTTTTGCATTCTTTATGTATCCTAGAGATTAATGGTTCATTGTAGGTGTGTGTAGTAAAGATTTTCTCCCAATCTGTAGGCTCTCATATTATTGTTTCCTTTACTGAGAAGAAGCTTTTTAATTTGAATCCATTCCATTTATTGATTCTTGATTTTACTTCTTGTGCTTTAGCGGTCTTGTTCAGGAAGTCGTATCCTAAGCTGACGTGGTGAAGATTTGGGCCTACTTTTCATCTATTAGGCACAGGGTCTCTTTCTAGTGCCTAAGTCTTTGATCCACTTTGAGTTAATTTTTGTACAGGGTGAGAGAGAGAGGTTTAATTTCATTTTGCTACATATGGATTTCCAGTTTTTCCAGCACTATTTGTTGAAAAGGCTATCTTTTTTCCAGTGAATATTTTTGGCACCTTTGTCTAGAACGAGATAACAGTATTTGTGTGGGTTTGTCTCTGTGTCCTTTATTCTATTCCATTGGTGTATGTGCTGGTGGGACTGCAAATTGGATAATCACTGTGGAAAGCAGTATGGAGATTCTGTTTGACTCAGCTAATCTCTCCTTGGTTTAAAGGACTTAAAGAATACTACAGTGATGTTTATAGCATTTCAATCAATGTTTATAGCATTTCAATTCACAATAGCTAAACCATGGAACCAACCTAGTTGTCCTTCAATAGATGACTGGTAAAGAAAATGTGATATATACGCGCAATGGAATATTACTCAGTTTCAAAGAATAATGAAATTATGGCATTTTCCAGTAAATGGAAGGAGTTGGACAATATTATGCTAAGCRAAATGAGCCAATCCCAAAAAACCAAAGACTGAATGTTTTCCTCTAATATGTGGATGCTAATTTACAATAAGGTAGGAGGCATTAGAGAAGAATAGCATTACCTTAGATTAGGTAGAGTGAAATGAAGGGAGGGGAAGGGAGAGGAGGGGAGGGAGAGTGGGGATAGGAAGGATAGGATAGTAGAATGAAGCAGACGTTATTATTTTATGTGTGTGTGTGTGTATGTACATATATATATATATATATATGACTGCGTGACTAATGTGATGCTACAACACATAAACTCAGAAAAATGAGAAATCATATCCCATCTATGTATGATATATCAAAGTGCATAAATGCATTCTATTGTCATGTGTAACTAATTAAAATACATAAAAAAATTAAAAATTAAAAAAAAGAATGTAGTGAATTCACTAAGTTTTAATGCTCAGGATGTCATTATTATAAGATACAGGATTGAGCTTTTTCTCTTTCCCTGAACTATGCAACACTTTTGCATTGATGACCCAGAGGGTAGGATTAGAGTGAYAGTCTTCAGATTTTAAAGTTGAACTTGAAGAGTAATGAAATTATTCTTGATACTATTCTCTAAAGGGTGGTATCTGCCTTTGAGGAGTGTAGCATGAATTGGCCCGTGATCTGTTCAGAGGATGCCTGTGCAGATGTGCAGATTCTGTTTTCTGTATGAGGTTGTCCACACACATCTCGACCTGATGTAGCACCTGAATCTCACAGATCTAACTTGTTTATTATAAAGGTCAGGTGAGATCACCACATGAACAGAATTAATAGGTAGAAACTGTTTGCTTCAAGTTTTCTCTATGTATCTATGACGTTCTTAAAAATGAAACAGCTCTTTTAATTCAGATAGTATATTATCACCTCTTATCTAGACCTATTTTATGGAACTCTCCATATCAGCTGGTCCCCCATCCCAGGCTTTGGGTGCTTGGCTGCTTGTCACTTCTTTGGGGACAGCTCCTGCAGTGGCTCCCTGCAATCCGCCCCTAGGGTGCACCTTCTTAAAACACTGGTTGTTGTGCTTGCCTGGCGTGAGGCCTGATCCTAGAGGCAGGGCTTTCACTGGGTTCTTATCTGGGGCTGCTGCAGCTCCGGAGCAGAGCCTGATCCAAATGGACCTGTCGAAGCCCCGGCTTCCCCAGAAGTGTGTGAGGGCTGGTAACGCAGCCCAGAAATGTGGGAGTTTGCTCACTGGGGAAACTTGGATGAATGAAAGACGGAGATAAGTTGCTCACCTTTCTCCCCCAGGGTCTGTTTCAGTGGCCTCTCGTAGAGGTCCCATGAGAACCACAGCCAGGACCTCTGAAGCTACACCGCT